CTTATTGAACTAATGATGGTTTATAATACTTTCATACGATTTCAACGTATAGGGTCACATCTCTTCAAATGTATTTTATCACACCATATCTACCACCAAAGCACCCAAAATTCTTTACAATAGTATCACCTACCCCATTGTTACTCTCATCCAATCCCCCATTCTCAAATGTCCCCATCCACTACTCTGGTAGCCTCAGTTCTGCCAGAATTATATTTCTAAGGCTTGTTTTGGTATAGTTTCTTCTGATTCTTTGCTTTGCTTCTTTATAGTCTATTTAAAGATTGATTTATTTATTTATTTATACAAGCACTGGGTATAGTTAGAAGCACGGGAGGGTGAGAGAATGCACCAGAGCCAGAGCGGGGAACAGAACAGGCAGACTGACGAAATACATTGCTGAGGGGAGCAGCGGGCGCATCAGGAGAGGTCTGTGCGCCATGTGGGACCCTCGCTGGTGGCCCGGGATCGAACCAGCACTGCAGAAGCTGCGGGCTGCTTCGCAGCCCAGTGCTCAACTGTTGCGCCACCAGGGGAGGCCCCTCATTTTTTTATTTGCATTTCTCTGATGACAATTTTTCATAAGCATTTTTTTCCTGTGGCTTTTGACTGACTGTATTTTTTTGAGAAATAGCTAGTTAGTTCTTCCACCCATTTTCTAGTTGAGTTGTTTTGTTGCTGTTGAGTTACATGAGTACTGAGTAGATCTTGGATAGTAACCATTGTTAGTTACATGATGTGTGAATTTTTCTCCCATTCAGAAGGGTGTTTTTTTGTTTTAATGACAACATCTTTATGTAGAAGATTTTTGATTTGATGTAGCCCCATTTTTTGGTTTTGTTTTTTCTTTTGTTTCTCTTATCCTAGTTCAGTCCCTAAAGACATCTTTGGAGCCAATGTTGAAGTGTGTTTTGCCTATGTTTTCTTCTATGTATTTTATGAAGTCAGATCTTAATACTAATATTTAATCTATTTTGAACTGACTTTTGTGTTTGATGTGCAAGTGGCTGGCCAGTTTTTCCAACGCCATCTCTTGAAGAGATGTTCATTTCTCCATTTCACACTCTGGATTTCTTTTCAAATTAACTATCCATGTAAGTATGGGTTTATTTTTGGCCCTCAATTGGTTCAAGTATACCATACTCTTTTGACTACTCTAAATTTGTAGTACAGCTTGAAGCCTGGGATCACGATACCTCCATTTTTCCTTTTTTTGGTCAGGATTTCTTTGGCTATTTGGGGTCTTTTATGAGTTTACATAAATTTCAGTATGTTTGCTCTGTTTCTTTGAAGAATGCATGAAAATTTTGGTAGGGATTGCACTGAATCTGAATATGGATTTGGGCAAGAAGGTCATTCTAACAATGTTAATTCTTCCAATCTATGAGCAGAAAATTATCTTTCAATTTCTTTGTATCTTCTATTTTTTTAAACAGTGTCTTATAGTTTTCATTTTACAGTTCCTTCACCTCTTTTTTACATTTATTTCTAGGTATTTAGTTCTCACTGATGTGATTATAAATGGAATTGTTTTCATATAGGAGCACAACAGATTTTGTATATTGTGAACAATGTTTTTTTGGAGTCAATTGTTTATGGGGGGAAAAACACAACAACCCACAAATGGATAAACTTTACTCTTCTTTTTTTTCATTGGTAAGACTCTAAACTTCATATTCTACAATTCAAAACTCATCTGAACTTTGATTTGATTATATGTTTTTATTGAAAATGATATGATAAAAATGTGTAAAGGGATACTGGCTGAACATTTATATGCCTTTCTCAATTCTAGTTACATTGTCATTTTAAATCCTTGATGGTTCAATGACTGAAAGACAAATTTGTTTTCATTTTTTGCCTGTGTAACACACAACCATTAGTCAAATGTAATTGAAGCAGTAGATATAAGAGACTGGAAACTAACTGAGATTGGCATTTTACTAATGGGATCATACTGGTGGAAAAATGGTGACCATGAACTTTAAAAATATCAGGTAAAAAAGTAATTGCAATAAAGTAAAAATCAAAATCAACAGGCAACTATAAAACAAAGACATTCTGCAGGGGGTGGGCAGAAGGGAACAGGATCAAAACAAGGGTGGGAAGGCACAAGGGACCAAGGTGATGGTTCACGGGGGAATGGGTGGTGGGTGGTGGGAATTTCATGGGGACTATAACCAGGATGGAAATGCATACATTGTACAAAAATGAAAAATAATGTAAAATATATAAATAATAAAAATTAAAAAATAAATAAAAAGATAAAGATCTTTGAACAAAAAAGAATATATTATAACAGGGTGATTAAAATAATTAAAAATTAGAAATGGATTATCTATTTTTGGTACTACATTACTTTGCAAATGAGAATGGGGACTACTAATATTTTGTGCATTTCTATAAAAAGTGAGAAAAAAGAAATAATATTTATTTCTGCCTGGCACCGCAATTAAAAAAACAAACAAACAGTTGTAATCACTGTAGGAAAAAAATGAGAAATATCTATCATTGAAGGAAAAAATAAAATCTCACAGAATATAAAGAAGCAAACACAAGCTCTGAGAAATGACCCTACATCATCTTTTTTAGTTTTGCTTAGTTTGAGATGTCAATGATGAAGATAAAAAGTCAGTGGTCATTTTTATCAAACTGTAATTATGTGTACCTCTTCATGATTTATTATAAGAAAATAAGAGGGCCTCCCTGGTGGTGTAGGGGTTAAAGACACAGCCACAGCACTATCAAGTCACTGCAGCACAAGTTTGATCCCTGAGTTTGATCCCTGGCAGCCCAGGGAGCTAACCCACATGAATTTTTAGTTCCACGTACTTGTAACTACTCTATATTTAAATTAAAAAGCCACAGTTGCAAATGGCTAACATATTGGCTAGTACAGGTTTACAGATTGTAAGCCATTGAATACAGTCTTTATTACTTTAAATGTTATAATTGGGTTTTCCCCCTGTGTCATAAGTAGATTTCAGCCTAAATTATTTTGGTCTTACAAAACAAAAATGCTATTTATATTTTACTGGTTTAAATCAATGTGAGGACAGAGTTTGGTAGTCCTAAATTTATAACAGCTTTTTATTTTAGGTAATTTTTTAAAAGGTATATTAAAATGCCTTCTGAACATACTTTTCATATCTCAATATAGTGTCTTTGGATTGGGATGGGATGTTGGAGATTGTTTACAGGAAACTAAAGGTAAAGCTGTTTGTAAATGGCAGAATTGATATAGCATCAGTTCTTAAAAAATAATTTCTTAGAATTAAGCATATTTTGGCCTCCCCTGGTGACGCAGTGGTTGAGCACTGGGCTGAGAAGCTGCCCGCAGCCTCTGCAGCGCTGGTTCGATCTCCGGCCACGGGCGAGGGTACCACATGGCGCGACAGACCTCTCCTGCCGGGCCTGCTGCTCCCCTTCAGTAGTGTATTTCATCACTCTGTTCTGTTTCTCGCTCTGGTGAATTCTCTTGCCCTCCTGCACTTCTGACTGTACCCAGTGCTTGCATAAATAAAATAAATAAATCTTAAAAAAAAGAATTAAGCATATTTTGCTTATTCATCTGAAACTTAAAGGCTTGAAAAAGTTAAAAGTTTTACACTGTTTTCTTCAGTGATATGTTATTTGTAAGCAAATTGTCAAAGTTATTTTGAAAGCTTTGCTACTCATGTGTGAAAGTTACTCAGAAACAAAGGGCTTTCAGAATACAGGAGAGGCTGTTGTAAAAATCATTTACACCAGGAAACCCCTGGATTAGCGTCTTGTTTCTTGTGCTATAAACATATTACAGACATAAGCAGCTTCTTTCTGTTCAGTCCTCTTTGGATATAAATTAAACTTTCCAGTCTTAAAATCTTCCTGACTAGGACATATATATTTAATGTAACTTTTTCAGAGCTGGAATTTTACTGAAAACACACACACAGTTCAGCTTCTTTAGCTTAACTACACCTAAAACACCTAAAAAGCACCCTTAAAGATTCCTAGTCACAGAGTTCCATTGAATGTTACTATTTTAGTCACCAAGTTAAGGCCATCCTAAATCGTTTCCTAACACTACCACGGAGTGCCTGCCAGCAAGTGTTTCCTACTTGCATTGGAATAAAGAAGAATAATTGTCACCTTTAGATGTGTATGCCTGCCACCACTTAGGTTATGTGTCTTCTACCTTGATACAATGCAGTCACAACATATTTAGGATGGGACAAGCTATTCTTTTCATTCTGTATGGACAGACTAGGGAGTGTTTCCCCTGTTAATTTGGAAAGCTGAGGGTTTGTTTGTTAAGATGAATTTTTGCCAGTAGAGAATAATCTTGTAAGCTGGGTAAATCTAAGAGTTTTTATAAACAATCTCCAACAGGAAAACTGACAGAGTGGGGCCAATAGAGCAGTCCGTGGCTGCCCAGGCTGCTTGCAGGTTCTGAGTATAATGTCCCATTGTGTGACTCCAGAGGACCTGTGCCTACTAAGACTGAATGGGGCTTAAAGGGTGCATCAATGTCATGTTGTCCTTTTCCCTAGGAGAAAGGGAGACATTTGTAAGAGTGATACTGAGATGCGTGGGTTTTCAGGAGGGGAGCAGGTCAACTTTTAAGGTTTATGTGCTTCTGAAACTGAGGGCTGGGGTATTACAGAACCCAACTCCTCATTTGGTGACTCATGAGGAATCACAAACATTTTCATGAAACTCTATATAGTAAGGAGAATATTGCTCAGAGAATCACCTGTGGCCATAAGATCTTGGCAAAAGGTTGCAAATCTTTCACAACATTTATCATCAACATATAACTAACTACCTTGGTAGTTAAAACATTGCTTACATTTAATATAAATATATATGTTCTTAAACTGTTGGAGGGAATTTCATTCTTTTATGCTTCCTGTGTTTCTCTCACTAGACAATGGTGTGCGTAGCTTGTGTTACCTCCACTGTTGACACATTAGAGATAAATACTGACAGATACTATGCCATACATGTAAGACATTTACCTGCATGCAGACCTTCTGGGATGGCTTCAGGGACTTATTCAGATAAAACCTCAGCTGTTTGAGATCTACTTATCATGTATCAAATCTGAAAAGCAAATAGATTGTGATTCAGTGAATATGGTCACATTTTAATTTACAGGGAAAACATTAAAATCATATTTTAAGAGTGTTTATAGAGGGAACGGAACCATTTGTTCCATATAAAGAACATACTTTTCCTCATAGAATTAGTTGTGCTAAGTGACTGTCAAGGGAGCCCTTCCTCTTCCTGTTCACAGTCAGTGTCTCCCCACACCCTTGTAGACACAACCGTAGAGAAGGAGAAAATGAGCAATCTTTTAGGAGCACAACCTCCCACTTCAACATGCACACTTGCTTCATTCACTTGCCACCAAAGCTCCAGTCACCCTACACTATCACATTAGCACCTCTCTCCAACCTTAACCACAGTTTTCAGAGTCTAAAAAATTATTTTTATTACATTTTGCCAGTTTGCTGTCTTTTTTTATTTATATTCCACAGCTGAATGAAAACATCTGGCACTTGTCTTTCACTTTCAGATTTTTCACCTCAAGAAACATCCATTTATTCCCCAAAAGACAGTATTTCATCTTTTAAATGGGTGAGTAACACAGGTGTATATATCACAATTTCTTTACCCAGTCATCTGTTGATGGGCACCTTAGGCTGGTTCCATGTGTTGGCCATCGAGAATAACTGCCATGAACACAGAGGAGCACAAATCTCTTCATGTTAGTGTTATCATAGTCTTTTATCAATATTTTTCATTATATATTTGGAGGATTTTTTTAAAGTGAGAAATGTTTTAAAGTTGAAGAGTTATTCAGGAAGATTGTGGTTACTTTTAAAAACAACAACAGTATACCCCAACTGTACTATGTACTCTGTATTGCTATACAGAAGAATTTGTACATCAGAAAGATTTATTTTTGGCCTTATTTCTTGTTGGTTTTGTCGTTATAGAAAATAAGTTTTCCATAAGAAGATTTCTCTATAAAATATCATTGTGATTTGAATTCTGTGGACCATTGTGGGTTACAGTATACCTTATGGGAAAAAAATAAATTAGAGAGAAGGTCACATTTGCCAATATTATTTTCCATAAAATTAATAGTTTTTCTTTAAGTGCTGAAATCTAGAGTGAGTCAGCAGGAAAGCAACAGAATTCCAAGACAAAGTAAGAAGTATAAAAGCAATAAAGGGTTCATTATAGGACAATTTAAAATCACATGCAAAAAAAAATAAAAAGAAAAAAGTCACTTAATGGCTAATGACAGATGAATAGATTACATATTAGATTAGATGTGAAATATTTATGTGATATAATACTACTCAACTATAAGGTGATGAAATCTTGCCATTTATGACAACATAGATGATACTGGAGGGGATTATAAGTGAAATATGTCAGAAGGAGAAAGACAAATATCCAATGATTTCATTCATATGTAGAATGCAAAGAAACAAAGCAAAGGCACAGAAGAAACCAAACCAAACCAAATCCTAGAAATCTGACTGCAGGCATAGGGGGTAGGCAGGGTAGGGTTAAAAAGGTAGGGGGTCCTGGGCCTCCCTGTTGGCGCAGGGGGTTAAGCACCACACAATGAGACAGTCTGCAGCCTCTGCAGCATGAGTTAGATTCCTGGCCGGCCAGGGAGGAACCCACAGGGCGAAGCGGACCTCTCTGTCTCCCCCGCTGCTCCCCTCAGCAGTGTGTTTCGGTCAGTCTGCCTATTCTGTTCCCCACTCTGTCTCTGGTGAATCTTCTCACCCCCCCCCTTTGGCCTGTGCCCCAGCTCTTGTATGCATAAATAAATAAATCTTTATAATAAAAAAAGGTGGGGGTCCAATGAACTATAATGGAGGATTAGGGGTATTTTGGTGTGGTTTTATAATATATATTTGAAGATGTGTAAACTGATATCCTAAAACATATAGTGTTTTAAGCCAGTCACCTCAATAAAAATAATTTAATTTAAAAATTAATTTCTCTTATGAATATTAAAAATAAATATTATGATAGGTTAAAAAAGTCACCCTATGAATTGGAGGACAAACACCATATTTCACTCTTATGTGAATTATAAAGAAACAAAACCAACAAAACAAAACAACAAAATGTCCAAATTCTTAGATATGGAGAACAGAAAAATGGCTACTAGAGGGAGAGGGACTTGAGGGGGTAGGTGAAATGGAGAAAAGGGGTCAATAATACAGTGTGGATGGAAACTAGACTTTTGGTGGTGACTATTAGGTAGTGTATACAGATGTTAAATTATACAATGTAAAAAAATATACCCCAAACATACATAATGTTATAAACTAATGACATTTAAATATAAAATTATTTTAATAAGTCATTTGTTATCTCAGCCTTGATCATAATAACCCTCAAAGGCTTTTAATATTTGTTATATAATTTTCCTTGTCTTTCCCATCTGTTTCAATTATGCTGGTTTTAAAATATATGTTGGTTACTTTACTCAGAAATCCATGCTTATATAAATTATTTTCATTAGAACATCAATAAAGTCTTCTTGGTGGCCAAAGGGTTAAGTCTCAGTGCTATCACCACTACAGCCTGGGTTCGAATCCTGGCCAGGGAGCCAATCCACATATTAAGCAACAGACCTCTCCTGTCTTGCTCACTGCTTCCCTCAGCAGTGCATTTCAGTAAACTGCCTGTTCTGCTCCCCACTCTGTGTCTGGTGAATCCTCTCACTCCCTGTACCTCTGGCCTATACCCCAGTTCTTCTATGCAAAAAAAGAACATAAATATAAATAACTTAAAACCTAGTGGCACTTTCATAAGAATCTATCAAACACACACACACACTGACTCATACTCATGATCTATGTCTATTTCACTTATAATTATCTTTCCTTGCCAGTAAATATATATATTAAATATGTACTTACATATTGTATTTTAAACATATATTTATAGAAATATATAATGACTATATAATGTTCCATCATATGGCTTAGCCTAATAGGAATTTAAAAGAAATAGGATAGATTTGTGCTTCTCTACTGATAACCTGGTAGATCTCATGCCTGAATACATTCAAGAAATCATTGTGTGGGAATCACATCCCATTCTTTTTCATGATTGATAAAGTAGTAGCAATTAACTGTGTGAAGGTTAACGGCTGGGAGATATCATGGTATGATATTTTTGTAAAGTGACATCATCTGAATGGAAAGAGTATTAGATTACCAGAGCTGTGTTAATGGAACATCCCTGTTCTAGGAGCACAGCACATAGATTTAGAAGCATATAAAATGCATTTGAATTGGATAAACAGAAGAGTTTGAATCAAAAACTGAAGAAAAGTGATGATACAATTGTAAGTGTATGATGATTACTAGAAGAAATACTGTGAGATTTTAAAAACTATTTAGCGAAATATTTAGCCAGATTATATGTAACCCCAGCAACAAAACATGTTGGCTAAGTGAGATCACAGGATTCTAAAGGATTGTACAAGAATCACTGGTACGTTACCAGTTATTCGCACTAGAAAAGTTTGCCTGTAATGTTCAGGGCGTTTCCTGGGCACTGCTTCCCCTCCCCAGCCCCACTTCTTGGCATTACAGCATTGTGGTTTGATTTTGTCCTACCCTGTAACAACATGTTAGACCATGTACTGTCAGTGTGCCTCTACATTTTAAAGTTCTAGACTGAAGTAGCTGGTGAAATTCCTTTATCACTGAGAAAATCAGGACCCCTCAGTTCTCATCATCACAAGGAACCCATACTTGCCTTAGTCTTTTGAGTAACATCGTGAACTTTTGTCCAAAAACAGACATTTGGCTGGATCCAGCTTTCAGAAAAGCTGCGTGTATTGGAGAAATTGCTCAGGGACTGAATCACTGGGGGCAAGACACTGATTTAAAATAAATCATGACTTGTTACTCAACTAACTGGTTAATAATTACATTTGATGATAATTTTTAAAAGATTTATTTATTTATTTATTTATTTATTTATTTATTTATTTAGCACTGGGTACAATCAGAAGCGCGGGAGGGTGAGAGAATTCACCAGAGCCAGAGCAGGGAGAAGAATAGGCAGAAGGACAGAAGCACGCTGCTGAGGGGAGCAGCGGGCGGCAGGAGAGGTCTGCGCACCATGTGGGACCCTCGTCTGATGGCCAGGGATCGAACCGGCACTGCAGAGGCTGCGGGCAGCTTCACAATCCAGTGCTCAACTGCTACGCCACTGGGGAGGCCCTTGATAATTTTTTAAGTCACATTTTTAGATAAATAAGAGTTTCTATTAAAAGCTGAAGAATGATCTATTATTTGAGTTGATGTACTAAAATGGAATGGTTTGTTGAATTTAAGCATCAGATCACCAAAAATAAAAACAGTAAATTTAGGTAAGTTTTGGGGAAAACAGCTATCAAACCTAAAGTTTAAAATAATCGGCTATCATAGTTTCAGTACTTACTTTCCAACTAAAGAAGGAATTTCTAAAATTTTTCATTATTTTGTGTAATAAAAAATAAAACAATAACAGGGGCAAATGTTATAACAAAATTGGAAAACACTTTGATTTTTCTATGAGATGAACAGAAATTGATTTCAAATTGTAACTTTCAACAAGTTCTCCAATAATTATTTGACCTAAAAAGCAGGTGGTAGGGTGCAGAACAGAGAGCGTGGGGCTGGCAGCAAAGAGTATGGGAATCAGATCCTGTGTTTAAATCTTGGCTCCACCTGTGACCACTTTTGGTAACTCTACCAGTTAATAGCTACTTAATTTGTCATTACTCAAGCTGTAAAATGAGGATAAGACAGTGATTATTCACAGGGATGTTGTGAAGATTAATGAAGCACAATATTTTAAGGCTGAACACTGTGCTCAGCACATTATATGTGCTCAATAAATGTAAGCATTATTGAAAATTTTAGATAACTAGAAATCCAAGAAATCAACTTCCAGACATAGGTACCATGCACTTCTGTTCTCCCAATTTTAATTTAAGTTTGAATCTGCTGTGATTTTGTTAAATACATGTTCTTATTAGCCCATTGGATTTGGATGGGAGCTGCGAG